AAGTTGTTAGCCACCCCTATATCCTCTCTATAAATGTTCTTAATCATAGCATTTATTGCCACTAAAATGATTCTATTCAATACCCTCTTTGAAACAATATTAATCTCAATCCTATGATTACCCCCAAAATAAACAAAACAGGATGACTAAGCATGGGTCTTTAGTTCATGGTTTATATATTGACTGGCTCATTTCCTCTGTTGTTAGCATTAATTAATGTCTAAGAGCACAAAGAAGACCTGTTGAACTTTTTAATAACATGCACAAGAATTCTGAAATAGATGAAACATACATTAATAGATTTAATGGAAGAAACAAACATTTCTATAACAACAGCATATCAATGCACAATTTTCAATACAGAAGACAGTATACACAGAGAGATCAGTAAGAAAATACCAACAGCAGCAGATTATAATTTCCTCAATTACATCCAGAATATTTTCAGAGATCTAAAGTAAGTTTCAGTAAATGTTTGATGTTTGAAATAATTAAAAGTATCTTTTCTAACCAGGGGGAGTAAGAATCATATACAGAAAACTACAAATTTCACAAGGTCTTAGAAATGAACACATTCTTAAACAACCCATGAATCTAGAGAGAGAGAGAGATAAACCAAAAAAAAAAACACAATATATCAAATTACAGGGTGCAAGGAAGATTAGAGAACAAATTATAATGCAAAATCCATATTGAAAAGAAGAAAAATATTAAATTAATAATCTATATTTATACTTCAATGATGAGAAAAAGAACGGAGAACTAAACCCAAATCATGAAGAGGAATTTAATATTAGAGTAGAGTACAAAAAACAGAGAATAGAAAAAAAGTTGAAGGACAACATAACTAAACATTGGGTCTTTCAAAGTTTCTACAGAAATAACAAAATAACGAGCATTTGGCTAGGTAGACAAAGGAAAAAATGGAGATGATTCAAATAATAAAAATCTGAATTCTACTGAGTTATTGTTGGCCTTACAGAAAGAAAAGGTATTTTAAAGATGAGAAACAAGTTAGGTGAAATTTAAAAATACCTAAAACTCACTAATTACCTAACAGACCTGAGATTGACTAGGAAGTTCCAACAGACATACAACAAATAAAAAGACTGAAACACTAATCAAAGCTCTCCCAATAAAGGAAACTTCAGGACCAGATGGTTTGTCTTTTGAGTTGTATCAAATATTAGAGACTTGATACCGATTATTTTCAACTTTTTCCAAAAAATAGAAAATGAATGAGCCAACTTAAAAACTCAAAGAAAAATACATTGATAGAATGAAGGAAACCGTCATAATTATCTCAGTTAATGCAGAAAAGGCAATTGTAGAATTCAAAATCACTTATGGATTAAAAGACAACAAGGAAGTTAGGAACAGAAAGGGACTTCTTGAACTTGGTGGAGGGCATTTATGAAAATTTACACTTAGAAACACAATGTAAATATGAGTGTTCCCTGAGGGAAAATTCTGAAAGATTTTCTGCTATGATCAAACAAAAACAATTTGTTATTTCATAACTGCTAGTCAGCATGATGTTGGAGATTTTATCAATAGCAACTGAACAAAAAAAAGTTTAAAAATGTGGTGTCCAAGTTCAAAGTGAAGAAGTAAAATTATTTCCATTCACAAAGGATAGTGTTGGATGTACAGAAAACCTTCCAGTACCTGATTGAAAGCTACTAGAAATGATGCATTCAGCAAAATTGCAACATGAAGGCCGTCATGAAAAAATAAGTTATTTATTCTATAGAATTCTATGGAAATATATCACAAGAAAATTAAAACATAAACATGGGTGGGTATAACTTGCTCATTTGGTAACATGTTTGTCTTGTTAGTATGAAGACTTGCATTCCTGCTTCCAGAACTAGTGTAAAGTCATGTGCAGTGGCATGCACACAGTTGCAATTCCAGGCATGTATGAACTTGTAATTCTAGCAATACTAAGGTGGGAGGCAGAAATGAGTGAATCCCTGGTAGCTTTATGGTTTGTCTAGCCTTGCCTGATAAATTTCTAGTCCAAGGGGAGAGCCTGAATCTCATAAGAGGAAAGTGTTTAAAGAATGACACTCAAGACTGTTGTCTGACTTATACACTTCTTGCTCCTTTACATATGCACTTACTTATACCGTACTCACTAAAGTCCATTTCCAATAAAATTTAAGAAAATAAATTGTTATATATGTGCTAAATAAAGAGATTGGAGGTTTGTACACTGAAAAATACAAAATACTACTGATGTGAATTAAGGAATAAATAAATAATTGTAATGGCATCTCATGTATATCATTAGGCAAATTTAGTATTTCAACAACATTAATACTGCCCACCATAATCTACAGATTCATGGAAATGCCTTTCAAGTGAGTTGGGGCCAGAATGCTAAATATTGTAGGAAGAAAAGAAAAGAGTAAAGGGGGATTGTAAGTGAGAGGAAAAGAAGGAGGGATTTGAGAAGAGAAAATGAGGACTAGAGAGATAACTCTGCCACAAAAACAAAATTATAAGAGGAGAAAATGGAAACAAGAAAGGGAAGAATTTAGGGATGAGTAATTAGAAAGACAGGACAGTTATGTTTTCTGTGTGATTCTCATCCAACTCACTGTGAAATAACACCCTCTTGCTAATAAATCAATCAGAGAGGTCAATGTTTTCTTTCAACATGTTAAAGAGTAGTCATTTCATTGGTAATCACATCTAAGGGCTATGTTCTTGACAATCAAAATGTATAATGAGATTATTGGACTAAAATACAAAATGTGTTGGTACATACTAGGGTAACTCTTAAATGCAAATTTCAAAAAAATCCTTCAACCTGAGGAAATTATGGATTAAATGTTAGTATTTAGGTACCCCTATCATTAGGATAGAAGCCAATTAGGACAAATGTCCATTGGCTTCAGGAATTCTGTCCTTTCTAGTTAAGAAAAAAGAATCCTTAAAGTCTGTCAGTTTCTGCTACTTAAATATGTTATGATCTTGAGTAAATCAATTTATGTCACTGTTCAGTAGAGGAAAAGAAATGATAAAATGATTAAATAGTAAAAGAGAATGTATTACATGGGCTAGATTATACAGTTGGATTAATACAACAGAACCTATCTCATACCAGAGTGAAAATCCATGAGGCTGAGTGTTTCAACTGTCACTCTGACACTGACAGCATGAAGGATTCTTTGAGAACCATTAGTCTTTAGTCCTCCTTGGAAGCCTGAAGAATTTTCTTGTCATATCAATGAATGAACCTTCAGAAGCAGCAATAGTATAGATGATTTAGTAAACAATGTAGGTGTACATGCTTGTGAATGTAGGTAAACTTGCATGTGCTTCTTCGCATCTTGAGGAAAGAGGGAACTTCAGGTGTTATTCTTCAAGTCCACTTTTATTGAGACAGGGTTTCTCACTGGCATGCAATCAACAAAGTAGATCAGAATTAGTTGGTTTCCAAGATTTTGCCTATCCTTTGTTCTGGGGCTACAAGTATGCACCAATACACTTGGATTTTTGAAGATGTGGTTTCTGGGGATTGAGTCCTCGGACACATAGCAAAGCATTTTGCCTATTAACCTTCAGCCCTCTGAACTTGATGGTAATGTGCTTAGGATATGATAGCTTAAAATGTATTTTAGGTTCCAGAAACACACCTACACTGCCAGTTAGCAAGAAAAACAAAACAAATGATAGTACAGCTCAACTTTATGAATGTTTCCATGCCAAGTGGGTAGACCAGATACATAGATAATGTATAATACTTTGCCAACCAAGATTATAATTTCAAGTCTGTCTTTAAAATATTATACTAATGTAAAGTAAGTTTGATGAACATTTTTGGAATGGCTTTACAGGTTTTTAACATTCTTGTTCTCTCATCATTTGTTTTCTACTTTGCTTTATAAAGATTCATAAACTGTAACCAATAAGCTAATCTAAGAGGAAGCATTTATTTGTGACAAAAGGGGAAAAAACAAACACAAAAATTGTCATATTTGTCCCTCCTTGTCTAATTAATTTCTTACTAGCAGAAAAAATTGGGATATAATTGTGCGTCCAAGGAAGAGAAAGACTACTTTTTTCCCTTACCAGCTTGTGAGGAAGGCCTCATGTCAAACTCATCTTCATTTAGAACGTAGTGGTACTAAGGCAACTAGGTTGTTGCTTGTACTCAAATGATGAGAATTTGTCAAGTAAAGAGGAATACATGCCTACAGAGGAAAACAGTAAATGGATTGATAGTCCACAGCAGGATTTTCCTATCTTAAATTATTGGGGTAAATGCCTACAGGGGCAATAAACATATTCCCAGAAAAACACAAGGAAGGGAATCATCAAACAGTGACTTACCTGGTGACAAAATGCAAGAAGAAGGCTAGTGGCAGTCTAGTTTTGCATATATGGAGAGAAGAGTAGATAATGTGGCATGCCTTGCTTAATACCAAATCTACTCTGGCAACAGTAGGGATATTTAGTGACATTTCTGCCCATGCATGTGTCTTAATGCAAATTCGTTTAGTTTGTTTTGTATTTTGGTACAGTTTTTTTTCACTGATTCAGAGGGTATATAGAAGAAAAGGAGTAAATTCAGAGGCATTATAAGTAAAGAGAGATAATTCAGATACACCTGAACTCCTAAATTCAGCCCCTTGTAGATCCCATGATCCAGGTTATTTCATTATTGATAATATCTAAAACATTGATGATTTAAGGATTAAAGAAAAGCAGTCAACCAAATAGCTATTTTTGCATAAACTTCTGCTGATGAATTCAATGAAATAATTTTACCTTATATTTTCCAAATTCAAAACTCTTTGGAGGTAAGTTGCCATTATTTAATTGCCATTATTCAAAGTAATAGTGGGAAGTTATCATGCACTTTGGGGCAATTTTTTTATTTGCAGTCTCATCATCATTTTAATTTTATTTACATCTATAACCACAGGTGTTGAGGAACTGTAATATTGCTTCAATATCTTTTGCAATATTTTTATTGCATTCTGCAGGTCCTCCAGTAAACGTTACTTGCAATATTTTTATCAACAGTTTTGGATCAGTCACAGAAACCACCATGGTAAGTGCTACAGTGCCACTGGCAAGCGAAAAGCGAGACTCAATTATTCTATGAACACAACCTGTCAAATTTTCTATTGTTCAACTTACAGGGCCTCCTGTAAATGTTACCTGCAACATATTTATCAACAGCTTTGGGTCAATAGCAGAAACTACAATGGTGAGTGGGACTGAGCATTGAAGCCATCGTGTGAAGAAGTGGGATATGGGATCACAGCAATGTTGCATATTTATGTGACATTTATTGAGTGCCAATTTCTAACATCACCACCCTCTAAAAACAGACATTTATACACCTTCACTTCAGAAAGTCATTTTTCAAGGAGTTACAACTTAAAACCCAATGGTGTTTTACCTATTATCCCAGAGCAATGCTGTAAACACATAAATTTTAAGTTTGTTAGAATGAATAGAAATAAACATGATGTGTATTTAGGAGTTTTAAAGTATCTGCATTTCTGATGTGTCATGAGTACCAATTTCTAAGTCTGACACATGCTTGGCATTTCCAGTCTTTTACTTATCATGGAAGCTGGGATATCATGAAGCCTGTCTGTTGCACATTTATATCACAGAAGGGAATGATCCATAAGAGCATGTATATATATTCCCGTCTTCATATATGCATACACAATTTAGTTGGCAAAAGAAATATTAAGATTACAGCAATTCTAAAAATAAGAACATCTTTGAAAAACATAAAGGCATGAAAAATACTCATTAAAGATATGTGGTGAAAACACCTTTTACATATGAGAAGTAGACTCATATACTACACAGTGTCTGCAATGGCTTCATGCCAGTAATCTGTACCATTAGATCATTAACTGAACCCCACACAGCTCATAGGTTACAGCATGGAGATTACAAATGGAGCAACATATTTCATTGTTATCCACATGGTTTATTTAGTCAGTTTCTTGCTATTAGTTTACATGGTTATTAATCATATTGCCATTATATTGGGTGAGACCAAAATGAAATAATAGTTAAATTTGACCAAGTATTATAGTAGCTGAAACCTACAAAACTCAAGAGGGGAAAAATGAACATATGATTCCATTAAGAAGTCAAAACTGTGGATTTTCTCTTTAAGACTTCTAAGATAGTGTTTAATGAGTTTCTCTACTTTGTGGTGTTTTTAATACAAGGAAGGAATAATTTACCTCTAATACTCAGTTTTATTAACAAAACTTAGAAAATAATGTGTATCTAGTACCAATTTTAACATTTCTCTGAAACAGCATTGTCCAGAAATAAGATTTTAGCAGGGTATGTAGTACACTAAGAATTTTACCTAAATGAGATAGTTTTGATAGGGCTATGAGTCATGCATAAGAAAAAGTAAGCATGAAGAGAGTAACTCATCTGGCCTTGACACTCAGTTTCTGTCTCATCTTCTATTGCTTTTACCTTCAAATGAAGGACAACATTTCCAGTAGCCCACTGTTACCAACTTTACACGATGGCATTCAATGACTATATTTGCACGACCTAATGCTAATTGCATTAATTAGACTCCTAAGTTGCCTTGATTAAAACTCTCCATTGCATTTTACTCCCAATCAAAAATGTAAATATGCACCTTTTCAGTGTTCATCAATACAAAAAGCTAAGCTTTTAAGGAGATGAAAATGGAAGCAATGGATACCCAATTTTCCTCAGTCTTTAAGACATACAGAGCTGTTTAGTAAATGGGCTGCTTAGGTGCTTCCAGACCACTTAGTAAGTGTCCTTTGACATGTTTTCTATGAGAAAAGGAAACCGTTACTCAAAGGTAAAGTCAACAGCCTATCCATCTGCTGTGTGACATAAATCAAATTGCATGTTAGAAGAGTGTTACTTCTTTTATTTAACTTATTAGATTTTTATGTAACAATAAGCTTCTGGTTTTGAAAATACATATATGTTGTTTTCTCATTGCTTTGGTGTGTAACAAAAAACTTTTTACCAAAATTTTATCATGTTTATGTCCAAGAACAAATTCTTATATCATCTAAGATAGGAATTGGCAAATGGATGTGAACACAGTCCAATCAAACTTTACTTGAAAAAATAGATTGGGTCAAATAAGTATTTAAATTAGTGATATTTCACCAAACATCTCATCTTCACCAGAGGATGCTACTTAGTCACTTTATCCATCAGTGACACAGAAGAGTATGAAGAAAGGAGATGTCTGAGAAAATGCTAGAGAAGAAAATAAAGCAAAGCAAAATAGTACAAGAATTAAACAGAAGTCTAGGAATACAGCTTTCACTGATATTTTCTTGGTTTATTGACATATTTGATTACTTTAGTGAATAGCATTGAGGACTTTAAAAAGTTACATTTTAATATGTGAGATAAATGTATATGGTCATGCTCACAGGTGTAGAAAAAGTCATCATATTATCAATTTAAGGGAACACTGTTGATTTCTGTGTTATATTTTAGCCTTTAACATAGGTTGAAGCTAGTGCTCAGTTAAGAAAGGATAAATGGTAACACTGTCAAGTATAAATATGTGCATAAATTTATATGTCAATGGCAAAATTCTATCTGTGGAGTAATGAACTTATGTGTATATGGAAATAAAGGAGACAAATGTATGGCAACTGATCCACAAAAATGAAGAAGATCAAAATATTCATGGAATTTAATGACAAAGGATGTTTATTTTTCATTTGTTGAGATTATAATTAAATAATTTCCCCCTTCCCTATCCTACCTCCAAACTCTCCTTTATGATCCCCACTTCCTTTATTTCAAATGCATCATTTGCTTTATGGTCCCCCCAAATTAGTGATATTTCAATATTCATAATAGTATGGCATTTGCTCTATTATTAAAAAAATTTCTGACTTACAAAATGACAGAAACTTTGCCTTGGTGTCTAGTTGGTGTGACTTGTTTTAAGTGGGTCAGGCTATAAAGCTGCACAAACATGATGGTTTATAAACAGCAGAACTTATTTCTCCAATATTCAAGGCTGGAAGCCTGAGAATAAGGTGCTAGTGCATTCAGGTATTGATGAGGGATCTAGTAAGGTTATGGACTGATGACTTCTTATATCTTCTCATTGTACAAAATTTTTTCTCTGCCCTCAGAATAACATCTTAAATGTATTGTCTCCCTATACTATAATGTTGGGAGTTACAATTTTAAAAATGAGGTTGTGAGGTTATAAATATTTAGCTTAGTACTTACTTACTTACACATTATCACAGCTCAACTTTCCTTTATCAAAACTCTTAGATTCTACAACCTGATAATTCCTCAAAATTTGACCCATAAAATTTGCACAAATATCAAATGTAACATCGAATAATTATAGTTGAAATCAGAAAATTTAACATCTATGCTTATCAGTAAAGTAATAGAGGCCATCAATTAATGTCATTTTATACTACTAATAGTTTTGCTTTCTCTACAATTTTTAGAACTATTTTTACAACAATGCTTCTAAACTGAGTTTCTGATCATGTTTATTGTATCATTTTGCTTTACACCTAATTATTTTACAGTGACTGAAGTAGCATTATTACAAGATGTAGTTTTGGTTGATTGTTTCTAAAGAAGGGGTGATGATTTTCTGTTTCAAGAACTCAAATTCCCTTTGATATTATACAATTAGCCCCCCCAACCCCATGGTTACTGAAATCACACTAATTTATTGTAAATGCTGCCAGTTAACAAAGTATTGGCTTAGTTACAGATTAAATACAAATGTTCCATTCTTTGATACAAGTGTTGGAGACATGTGGTTCAGAAGACAACATATTGTTGTTTACTTAAGGAATAGTTTTATGGATCATCATGATGATATGTTATTAAATTCAATAGTATGTATATTCATTCATTAAAAGGCACATGAAATTGTTGGTATTTGACACTTGTACTATGATTATTCAGCAATTCAGCAGATATAATTTTCTATAATTTTAAGAATTTAAGAAATTAGTAGGGGACATATACTAAAAAGATTACATTCTGTTTTTGAAATGTCAGTTTATCCTTTCCTTCTTTTTCCCCCTTTTATTTAGTTGCTGATGACAATTGAAATTACAGGATAAGGAATATATTTACAACACTCTCTTTATTAATGCTGAGGCAGAGATAGGAAATATGGGAAACATAAGTAACAATCAAGGGTATTTCATACCAGCTGTATGCCACTCTCCCAAAGCCTGGAGCATCAGAAAATGGAGATAAGCTTTCTTCCCAGCTTCAAATGTCTGCCTGGAGAGATGGTAGTGGATTCTGTGTGAGTGAGGACTTAGAGGTGTTGCTTTGCTACCCATGTCTCAGTAAACAGATGTGAGGGATAACTATACGTACATAAATGTATTTACCATTAACTGCGGCACTGCAAGGAGTTACTTTGTCACTGATCTGAAACTCCATTCCTGAGGAACTCAGAGAAGAAGGTAGACAGAAGCTGACATGGTTACTTGTTGCATTATAACTACTGAATGAGCACCTCATAAAATGATGCTAACTGACAAGAGATAGCATATTATGTCAGTTATTTCTGACATCATAAAGAATAATCAATACATTCCATAAACCTTATATTATGTAAAGTTAATACAAAGGTTTAAATTGCTCCCTAAATTACCAGTGAGATAATAAAGTCCATAATCATCATAAAGCAACTTCTTACCACCACAATTTAAAGTACAAGTTCTTCCATTAAAACTAGCAAAGTTTTGTGATTATGGAAAATGATTTTGGAGGTTGGCAGGTTTAAAAACCAAAGTGAGACGTAAGCATTATGGATATATAAATATATCTACAATATATTTATAATTAGATTAAAAAGTACACACATACCAAACAGTAAGATGTATGATAAGGTTTGATATGAGTATTTATGAGATAAAATGGTCATCTTTATGGCTAAATGGAGAGCTATATATAATAGTGCAAAATAATTCAGCTTAAGGAAGCAATATTTATGGAGTAGGCATAGCTTTAGAAGGTATTAGAAATAAATTGAAAAATTCTAAATTTGACTTTAAAAACTATAAATGAATTTAGATACTCATATTATCAGTGTTGACTATATAAAACTTATTCAATTTATAAATGGATTTTGTTTGTAAAATGAAATACATACACATATATAATATAAATGTTTCTATCACCTTATTCAATGCTCAGAGAGTCAATAATATGGAAACTAATTTTAGTACAAAGAAATATGTCATTTATTTGAAGTAGAATCTCTCCTTAGAGAGTGCAGGCAATGTAAAAGAGAATGTAGTCTGCATTTAAACATGTTTCTAACTATTTACTTTCCCTTTAATATTTTATTGAGCCTGGAAGCAGCAGAAAAGTCAAAGAAAGACTACAGAATCACATAACTACTCTCTTATGATTAACATTATTATTAGATCATGAATTTATTTGTAGTGAAACAGAAATGATGCATTGATAAATTACATGTGCCAAAGGTTAATTATAGTGAACTAAAAGAATAACACATTTGTGGCTGCAGAATATTTTCTTCGGCTATCTACTTTCTCTGTATTCTTGGGGAGGAGATCCCTGTATGTTCTTAAATACTTTTAAGGGTAGCTATTTATTTTTAAATGGTGTATCTAATCAGAAACTAAATCATGAATAAATGTTAATGACTACACATTCAAAGGACTAGATACTTGTAAATCAAAAATCTGGTATATTATTGTTGAATACGAATACATTTCTTCTCTACTTGTCATTGTTTATAAATAGTGAAAATAATTTATTTTAAATGACCTTTAGATATTTAACAGAAGTTTATTTCCCAATTTTCTTGCTATAAAATTCAAAGTAGAAAACCAAGAAACACTGGAGAACACCCATGGGAATTTGCTATGAAAATCTATGTCGAGATATTTTTCTTAAAGGCTGTCACTTTATATTGTGTGTCACTAAGTTAGTATTCTTAAGGGTAGGTCAACAGGTAAGATTAACTCGTTCTCAAGAGCACAGGAGGATCACAAGGCAATTGTGTTTGTGATTTTGTCATCCACTGATTTCTAGCTGATTGATCATGGCTTTTTGCAACAACCCCCCACCAAATCCTTCCTGGTAAAGCGGCTGCTGTTTTCTGAATAATCTGCTATTTAACCATTGAACTTTTGTCATGTCAAGCTACTTCAACTTCCTGGACTTAGAGTATCTCTAGATTTGACTAGAGGAGGAAAGCCTTTTCTTTACTATTCCTGATTCAATCAAGCATAGACTGTCCCTACTCTGCAAGAATTCTGTTAAGTATGGATTCTCACTCTAAGAAACTAGACGCAAATGATCACCATAAACTGGAAAGGCCTCATTTCCTTTCTTGGGAAATCTTAAGAGCATCTCACACACACCAATAGAAACATGAGCTCTGCATTGCTGCATTTTTAATTGCCCTTTCTTTAATTTTCAAAAATTAGACTTTCATACTCACTATTCACACAAATCCCTAATGGTTCAGTAACATCCATTCCCAAAGATATATACCAAACTGCAAATAATTTCTTTATGACCACAGTCCTCTGGTCTCTTTGAACAACTCTAAGAATGGTGCCATCCTGCCATTGGCTTCGTCAGTCACCAGAATAACCAATTGAGGTAGATGTTGAGTTAAGCCCACAAATTGTATCCACTCTAGTCTGAGAATTTGCTGTGCAAAAATTCTAACTAAATGTCACCTGCTAAGCTTTTTCACATTATAATGCTTGTATTTTACAATAGAAAACCTCAGGTAATTCTTAGTAATGATACAGGCTTTCCAAAGAGTTAGGGTTTGACCACTGATTTACAATAGTTAAGAAGTATTTAATTATTAGTCTTTTCCAACCTACTTTAGACACCTTTCCCAAAATATTCTATGAGATTCATCATGAGTACTCTGTATTTTAAAGTTGCCATAGAAATTCTAATAGGTTAATATAACCTTATCTCTAAACCCTTTGTCTTTTGACCATGAGGGGACTAATCAAAATATATCATCTTTTAGTAGTTTCCATGGTACCTGCCAGAGTAAACAATCACATCTGTTTGCTTGGGAAAAAGAGTATTGTAAGACTTTAAGAACCTAAATTAGAAAGTGTTCAAGTAAACTAAGACAACCTAAACACCAGTTAGGAAAAATAATGATCTAAAGTGAATCTACATGACAAGGATATGGAGATGAAGCCAATATGGCTTAAACAAATGTGAGGGAAAAAGAACAAATGGAGATGTCTATCAACTTTAATAGTCACAAGTGACAAGAAGCTATGAAATACTGAAGGACTAGGGACTATTGATGATGCCTTAGACAGAGTCTAGATCATGAAGTTAAGCAATGGATCCATGAACCTAAATGTTTTTGAACACAAGCCCTCAGGAGAATAGCCACAGTCACAAGCTGATTCATTAGCACAGAAGAACATGCCCAGATTATGTGAGGACAGCGGGTCTGTATCTGAGACTCCCATTAAGGAGAAAACCTTTGTCAGATAGTTTTCATATTGGAAAAAAAAAAACCAAAAATTTTCTATTTGAATGAAGCATCAAGCTGTCTATTGCAGATATAACAAACTGAAAGAAATCTATAAAATATGCAATAATATTGACTGTAATTACTTGTGAAGGAATCATTTTGTTAACATAAGGCATCTTAATGTTGTTAAGATTTTAAGAATATTGGTTTACTGTAACACGGTTTTATGAGATTTTCACTCCCAAATTGCAGAGTTGATTTTCTTCATATAGAGAATCTAAACAAAAGGAGATTAGAAATCATGTCATTTCTATTTAGAAAATGAATCAGTTTTATCTGGTAATCTGTCAAGACATTCTGACTACTATACTCATCATTGCCTTTCTCTACAGAAAAATCATCTTGATTTAATATTATTTCTACCCAGGATTAATATTTAAAGCATAAAAAATAAAGAAAGTCAACCTGTTTAATTGGCGTTCTGATTCGGTTGATTCTTCTTTCTCCTTTCCCTTCACCTCAAATCCTAGTAGAACTGGAGGCTTTATTTTGACCAATGTGTACAGAGACATGTTTGCCCAGAAGAAAACACTATATCAAATCAGAAATAATGTGATAGGGAACGTAAACATCTTTCTTAAGCCAGGTTGGGCAGTAAGTATTTCTTGTATATGACATTTCTGTAGGACTATCGGGTGAATATTTTTCTGAGACAACAGTGGAATGATTCACGGCTGGCATACAGTGAGTACCCGGATGATTCCCTGGATTTGGATCCATCTATGTTGGATTCCATTTGGAAACCAGATTTATTCTTTGCCAATGAGAAAGGAGCCAATTTCCATGATGTCACCACTGACAATAAATTGCTGCGGATTTCCAAAAATGGCAAAGTGCTCTACAGTATCAGGTAAGCTTTTGCTGGTTATAGTTCTTTGGTTCTTTGGGCCAAGAGATTCCTTATTGGTTCTTCAAGGAAGGATATCTATGAATATATGACTTTGTGGCATCTTGATTATTTATTTGAATTTTAAAGTAGGTGGAACATTTCAGAAGTTTTAATGGTAATGTAAGTGCAATTCTTCAAAACAAAATATATCCAGTAGGTTTATGGACAGTTGATGGCATTATATAAACATCTAGGCAAATATATTTAGTAAAGAAATACAGACTATCCAATCTGTACATGTACAATGGATCAACTTGGTCACAAAGCATACTCTGGGTTGAATATGTAGAAGCACTAACCTCATTTGTGTTTCTCAATAAACATAATACCTAGAGACCTTGATGTCTTAATTTTTATAAGGCTTTAATTTGGGACAGAAATTGTCTAATGCTTTTGTTACAAAACAGGATCCCTGACCTGGGTTGGTTCACAACTCCATATGTAGTAGAACATGACCCTGAACTTTTGAGCCTCCAGCCTCTAATTCCTGGATGCTGAGGCATAAAATACCAATCTGTGTGGGGGGAATGGAGATTGAAGCCAGGGCCTCATCCATGCTAAACAAATACCAACTTGGTTGCATTCCTAGACCCTCATTTCAAAAATATTACATTCAAACATGTCCTCCATAATCTTTATCTTTCCAGACTCAGAAAATTTTCCTGTTATTCTTAATACAAATATTTATTTCTCTATGGCTATATAAGGCTCTTATTTTCTCCTGCTTTGTAATTTAAATTCTAGCATTTATGAGTGATTTATAAGGACATGGATTCTATTTTTAGTCATAGCATTGATTTTTTTAATAATATAGATGTAGGGTCAAACTCAAGCTTTGGCACTTATCAAGTTCCAGGATCTAAAATATCCAATTACTCTCATTGTCAGATATGGATCAGCATATCCACCTCTGGATACATGCTTGTGAAAATTAAAGATGTAGACATCAGAAAATATTTAAAGGGACAGATTGCACTCATTTCAATTATGCAGGCTAAATTACAGCTGTGTGTGCTATTTATTTCAAAATCAACCATAGAAAAAATGCAAACAATAATTTAATAATGCAGGGAAATGCTGGTACACTAGACTTCATTCTTTGGCTATGGTTAGCCAGGCCTTGACAGAGACAATACAAAACACATTGCCATGGAGTTCATGTTTGATAAATAAATCCTGAATCTTACAAATAATGGTCTTTTAAAATAATAACTGATTTCAGTCATATTTTATCTCTTCTGAAGGACTGGGACAGCATACTGTACAAGAGAGGCAATATACCACATATCTACTAATCTTTCAAAGGCCCTTTACTCTCTTCTTTGTTACCATCTCCCAAAAGTGAGCAATTAGTGTTCTTGTAAATATTTTTTTACAAATTTGAAGACTCCCCATCATTTAAGAACCCATTATTGTCATGGTAGTGGCAACTGCCTTTGATCCCAGTACTTGGGAGGAAGAGGCAGGAAGATTTCTATGAGTTCAGTGCAAGCCTGGTCTACACAATGAGTTACAAGACAGCCTGTCTCAAAAAAAAAGAAAGGAAGTAAGGAAGGGAGGAAAAAAGAAAGGAAGGAAGGAAGGAAAGAAGGAAGGAAGGAAGGAAGAAAAAGGAAAGGAAGGAAGGAATGAAAAAAAAGGAAGAAAGGAAGGAAAAAGAAAGAAAGAAACAGGAAAAGAAACCATTATGTAATTTGGTTCTTCAATGCATATTCCATTCCATTTTTTCCCATATAATGCTGTTGGCCAATTACTAGTGTTTCTTATCAGCTAGCTCTGTCTTAAATATAGACCCATTTCTACTAACCTAAGTATTTGCATGTGGTCTCATCTTACCAGAGAGAGGGCCCAGTGGTCTGCTCTCTTTCCATCCTAAATCTTGAATCCCCTCCTTACTCATTCCTCTCTCCTCCTTGTCTCCTAGTCCCTCCTATCTTGCTTTCCTATTGGCCAACAGTGCTTTATTCATTAACCAATAAGAGAAACGTATTTACAGAATGACATCTCCCATCATCTCCTCTTTTCTGTCTAAAATAAAAAGAAGGGTTTTAACCTCAACATAGCAAAATATATAACAAACAGTTATAAAATAAGAAGCACAGTTAACAATATTTAGTCCATAAACATTTGTAAGATTTAAAGAATATTTTCCATTGTCTATCCTATCTTTATGAGTTTGAAGTCCTGTATGTAACTTATCTTTAATCCTAACTAAGGAAAACTATAACTATCTGTATTCAACTCCTTCAAAGACTACAGATGGATAATATATAAACTCTAGAACTGACAGAGACATCTTGCTACCTAATCAATCACCTGAAGTTCTTCTATAATGTTTCATCTTCAGGCTACAGGCCATAGTGTGTCTGGTAGACTTCTCAGCAAAGCAGGAAACTTTAAACTGTCTACCTGTATTCACAGTTTTTCAGTCACTTTTTTCTGTGTCCTGCAGACTGCCTGGCAGACACTTCCATGAAGCAGGAACCCTGTAGCACTGTCCATCTTGTTTCAGCAGGAACATTCCTGTGGGTCCTGCATGTCCAGTTTATCTAGACAAGAGTAATATCTTGCTCAAATGGCCATCTTGCCATACTGAAAAGCAAACTCCATAACGAGTTTCTTTGATGTCTATCTTCCTTTATGATGTAGGTGGTATTGCCAGGAGGCAAGAAAAACTCTAAACCATTTTAAACGCCATATTCTGTAGGTCTTTGAAAGGTTTGAAGAATGTTTATCCATCTCAAATACATCTTGAGAACCTAACTAACTTAACTCTAAGTTTTGAGTATCATAGGTAACTATAATCTGTACTGTTATACATTTTTAAATGAGCTATATAAACACAATATCTAAACAAGAGGATAAATATGTTTATAACAAAATTTATGCTAAATTTGTATCAATAAATTAAAATCCATTTCAAAACAAACTATTCATATCTATACCATAATCCTCTTTTTACCTTTAAAAAGATTAGTTGTGGTCATTAACCATTTATAACCAAGCCCATTTAAATGAAAACAAACATTTATAAACAATATTTGGGAATTTGGGCGTTGTTCTTTCTAAACTGCTTCCTGCTTGTAGGGGGCACTGTCATGGGTATCCTAAGAAGATTCAAAAATCCTGGCTGTAGTCTGTAAGGCTGCTTTGTCCCAGAAGTTTTGAATGTTGGATCACCTGGGACACTGTTTCAGGGGGTCTTCCTTGATCAACCCATGTTAGAGTGGAAGGAATCCATAGCTTTTTATTTTCTGTGTAACAAAAATATAAATCCTTTTCCCCAGTAACCTGTCCTTAGACTTAAATTTTGGAGTCAAAGAATTTTTAAAATATATAAATTGGAATAATACAGCAGTATTTGTTTTAACAGTTGTTGCTATTTCTTCAGCAGTCAAATAATTTAAAGACAATACTATACCATATAGTATCCAGAGTTTCTCTGTGCTTTCCATCTTTACATGGCTTTTTTATTACTCTATTTCTTCTATTTTTATTTTTTACTTATTGAGACAGGGTTACTCTGTGTAACTTTTGGCTGTCCTGGAATTCACACCTTACACTAGGTTTTCTTTGAAATCACAAAGATCTGTTTGTCTCTCTTTCCTTAGTGCTGGAATTAAAGACATGTGTCACCACACCCAGATACTCTTTTTCATTTTATTATTCTTTTTATAAACCATTTTATCCTGTTTCTTTTCTCTCTCAAGCCTACATGTATTTTTTTTAATTTTATTTAATTTTATATAACAGTCCAATTAAATGAAAACAAACATTTATATACAATATTTGGGAATTTGGGCATCGTTCTTTCCAAACTACTTCCTGCACACTGTAAACCTTTAGCAGTTTTCCTTATGAATCTGTCTTTACTGTAAATCTTTATCTTTTCCTGGCCATGTCTTTTATCTGGTAAACAACATTGTTAAAATGAAAGCCATAGCTGTATTAAACTTAGTCTATCCAAGATGGTGGCGGGTATTTTACTGCCATCACTGAGAGCTTTGCTCACTACCTTGGTCAACACTGCCATCCAGCAGTATGCTGCCGGCTTGGAGTTGTGGCCACTATCACACACACCATTCAGTTGTTAGCAGAGCTCTTTAAAAGCCTTGCATTGTTTTTGTTTTGTTTTGTTTTGTTTTGTTTTTGCTGCTTATGGTGAGTCAGGAATCCTCCCTTAAAGGAGCTGCACAAGTCTCTGCTTGTCTCTAGCAAAACAGAGTCCAACTGAGAAAAATTATGCTACCAAGAAGCTTTGCTTGTTTTTGTTCTTTTGTTTCTAAAACCCTTTTTTACGATTTTATCAAGTTTCAAGTGAAAGTTCTTCGGTCCACGTTGGACGCCATTTTGTTAGGAGCTGGTCTGGTCTGACTGCTGAGCCAGAGCCAAATAACACACAGAGAAGCTGTATTAGATATAGTTCTGCTGGCCAGTTACTAGTATTTCTTATCAGCTAGCTCTGTCTTTAATATTAACCTATTTCTATTAACCTAAGTATTTCTACGTGGTCTCATCTTACCAGAGAGAGGGCCCAGTGGTGTGCTCTCTTTCCATCCTACATCTTGAATCTCTACATATTTCATTCTTATACTAATAACTCCAGAGCTTGCATTTGGTTTACTGTTAGCGCATTATTGAATGCAGGAGGATGCTCATTGGGAAAACATGGCAGTGTGGTTACTTTAAGAAAGAGTTAGAGAAATTCCCTTGATGCCCATTGCATTGTTAAGGAAACTGTCCTGCATGATAATCCATTTGTCTTGTGTAAGATGTATTGTTAGGCATGACCTAAGTTGATGTGACCTGATAGAATGGGACATATGTAGAGCATCATGCTGGAAAATAGAGTTATAAAAAGTAACACAGTGTATCAGCTGCTTTGGCTAGTCCTTTGGGCCTTGGGTGGTGTTTGTGCTAGTAAATACCTACATTGTGCACTGCTGAAATAAAATCAGTTT